GGGAAAAGGTTTCCTTGTAGACCGGCGAGCTCCAGCCCGGCCATGAGGTTGGTTGCCTCATGACGAAGAAAACGAAGGTGGTGCACGGATTTTGGAACACGGGAGCTACTGCCCGCACCCTCTGCAGCTCCGCGGGGTCTCGGCGCCTGATCCAAAGGAGCCAGAGTGGTCCTGGCGTCGGAGCGGGGTGGATCCAAATGGAGAAGTTGAGACTGAAGTCAGCCTCACGGGAAGTTGCGAAGGTTTCTCTGAGGTGTTACCATCAATAAGAACACCTCAGTCTGTTGTGCCATTTCTTTGTAACTGTTAAAGAGTTGCTTTTGCGGTGACTTTTGTCCTTCCCCCTCCTTCTCCCATAGTGTAATCCTGCAAAAAAACTAAATCATCTATGAGAAAATGGAGTCAAAGTGTCATTCAACATTAAAAATCTAGGGGCTTTAACTAAAAACTTTAATTGCTATCCTGGCTCCACTATAACCAAGGGAACGACATACTCTGTTGGAAACTCAGAAAGGTTACATATCGCTTTAGCAGGCGCTGCCCTTGTTTGTTTACTGTAGCTTACTTTCATTTATATCCCAGGAATATTATTTCACCAGGCGACACACGAAAAGACAAAGGGTGTAAATAAACTAACATATGGCCCAGAGGTTTTAGAGGAGCTGGAGCCGCTTAGTAAGTCATGTGGGTGATACTGGGAATCCGTCTTCTGTCCTACCCCCGCTCTCTCATAACCTCCTTCTCCCTGCGTATTCCTTCTACCTTCTCACGATAAGTCATGTTTGTGTCACGACCGGCTTTGGGGCACCAGATGTTTTTTCCTTTGGACTGCAAAAATCTGGGCAGCGCAGGGATGGGGAGGGATGGACGCAGGTCCTGTGCCTGTGCCTCTACATGCAGCCGGAGAAAACCCGTTGACATAACAAATGTGCGTGAGGATGTGTAAGCACACCCACACCAGCCCCGGACAGGGTCGGTCCCTCCTGGGGGGGCCCGGCCCCGGGAAAGGGCGCGGGACACAGCCGGGCCGTGCCGGGCTGCGCGGCCCCTTGGAGCGGGCGGCTGACGAGGCGCCGAGCAGGGTCGAGAAATCTGGCGCCCACGGAAACACTTGACAACCTTTTTTTGTTGTTATTGTTTCCAATTGTAATCGGTTTCGGCATTTCGCTCCCCAAAAGCCTAACCGGAGTTGAGCCCCGCTCCGTCCGGGAGGTGCAGAGTGTTTAACTGCACCCTGCACCTCCTTCCCCTCCGCTTCTCCCGGTAAGGCGGCGGAAACGGGTCCCGGGTACTGATTCATATTTCTAATCTTCCTTTCCTGAACATACAATGTGCTATTGTTAAATGAATGGTCTTTAATTAATGCACTTGCACAATGCAGGGCCTTGCATGGGGATCGATGATAGGAAGCAACAGGGGATGGTTCCCTCCAAAATGGTTTGTCAGCATTGAGAAAGAAAAGGCAATGTCTATAAAAGGGCCACTAATAATGCCCACACGTCTCTCACCATGTTGTCTGAGGGGACATTCCTTCCCTTGTTGACAGTCAAGTGTAATAAGTACATGTCTTCGCTCAATCATTATAGACCATAGAATTGTATTCTTTAATTAGCATGTGCTGTTAGCCCTCCTTTCCTTTATGGGCCAGTTTTTGTCTTTTACAGACCAGCAAAAATGTTTTCCTTCATTTCTTTTTCTTGAATTCTATTATTTCTTAAATTATTTTCTTTCTTTCTCTCTCTCCCTTCATGTAGTCAAATGTATTCTCTATTGACAATATTCCTGGCAGCTAAAGCCAACTTTTTGTCATCTCTGTGTGTTAGGCAACTTCTTTCAAGTTTTCCTTTCCTAAAAGCAAAGAGGGCAGCGCATGCGCAAGGCTCCGGCCGTGTTCGGGCCGCGGTGTGCCCGAGGCTGCAGCGTCCCTGCAAACAGCGGAGCTGGCGTTTGTCACAGGGAGAAGGGAGCCCCGAGCAGGTTCGGGAGCTGCGATACCCCGGAACCGATTAACATCCATCAGGAGAATGCGCAAGGCAAGGGAGGCTTACTTTCAGATTACTGTAGCTGGCGAAAGAATTCCCTCTCTTAAAAAAAAGAAATATAATGCCCTAAATCCGCCTAGGAACCTTATAAAAATGTTTTATTTCGCTGTGACTGGGACCCATTCTGGAGTGGGGGGGTGTGGAAATACTTCAAAAGAACACTTGCATCCTGCGAAACAACAACCCTTCGGGCGGGGGGGACCAGCAGCCTCTCGGGGTAGCCCCTGCTGAAAACTCACGCCAATCCCCCGAGTGTTGGTGCCCAGCATCCCAGTGTTAGTGTCCCCAGAGTCGCACAGTGCCCGTGAAGAGCCAGAGAGCCACTGCGGGGGTAACCGGGACACGCACCTACCCCCCCCCCCGAGGGACAAGGCTCCACCTGGGTGACACCGGGCTCTGTTTCCGCACCCTGCGCCTTGGCCAGCGCTTAAAGCAAGATTGGTTTGAAGTCTGCGATCTGAAAATGTTGTCGCAGAAATGAAGCCAAAGAAGGAGTTTGTTTTGTTCTGTTCTTTTAATGGAAATGCCAACCTAAAACGATTAACATTAAAAAAGGCTAAATACCAACAAAAAACCCACTCATTAATACTTGATTGTACACCACATTAATAGTACACAGGTTTGGGCATTTTTTTTTTTCAACGAAAATAAAAAACAACAGAAACAGAAGGTTGATTACACAGTGTTTTAGGAATGGCTCGGTATCATCAGTACAAACACATAATTTAAAAGTGCACATTAAAAATAACTATAGAAATGAAATGCTTATAAATATTTATTGTAAAAAAATCCAAGTATTAAAAATAAATAGTATGTTCAAGAACACAACAGAACATTCTTTCATTGCCAAACGTGATAAAGAAAAATAAGGAATATAAGATATCTGGAAAGAGATACAGTATACCAACATTGTAAATGTTTTTCTGCAAGCTACATTTGTCAGAGGTTTCTTCTCTGTACAGTTCACAAAGAATGTACTAGATTTTCCCATAAATATGACAAGACCAAAAATAATAACAATAATAATAGTAATACCCACTCCACTCTAATTTGACTCTGTCTTTACTCAGAAAAGGTCCCATTAAATTAATGGTTTGGCTTAGAATGGCAGGATTGGGCTCAGATAATTCTTTAACAACTAAAACAGAAGTACACAGATGAGTTTCAGCTTCAAGGAATTCATATTCCGAACAGGGCACTGCATGATATCCAATGAGAAACTACTAAATAAAATTTGATCAGGGAATCATTGCAGTACAACACCATTATGTTTATAAAATGAAGATACAAAAGGGATGCAGTCTGACTATCCTTACACGTACAGACAATAAAACATGAGAGCATATGGAAGCCATCACTTTGAATGCATTAACAACTTCGATACGTTGCAGTATATACATGCTTGATAGGTATTCGGACTGTTAAATGATCAAAGAATTTACTCTATGTCTACACTCTTGCTTTCACTCTACTGGAGAGAAAACATTTGTTGGTCACAAAAATGGTGTTAATGAAACCCAAGGTTTCTGCCTTCCCCCAAGAATACATTCCGTGCAGAGTGTGTGTAGGAATAATTTATTAGACGGAAAAGTTTGGAGGATGAAATGCAAAAACAATGGACATAATTTCAACTTGCGAACTGTAAGGTCATACAGACATCCATGGACATCTGTACACAGTCAGAGTTTCACGCAGACAGAGTCACATATATCCAGATGTATGTCTATACACAGGATTCGATAGTTTGGTATTTTCTGCACCCTCTGGGCCCCTAAAGTTATCTTTAAAAGTTTGATTTTATCTCTTTAGAAACGGTTTAAAGCTAACGGGCAGGGTGAGTTTGACAGAGAGGAGAACAAATCGCTGACAAAGAACCTTTTACGTTTCATCAGCGTTGTTAGGACGACGAGCAGGAATTTCTCAGATAATAACTCCCACTTCAAAGATTTCTCAGCTCAATAGAAATTGGACCATCCTTTTTATTCAACCACAAGGGCTGGCACTAAAGACGACTCAACTGTTTGAATTTTTTCCCCCATGTTTATTTTTCCCCTATTCACTAGGGTACTTGGATAAAATAAACAACAAGACAATTACTGGAACATGGACTTCTAACTTTCCCGGGCCCATGGCCCAGCGCCCATGGCCCCGGCCATGCGGGTGTCAAGTTCCCCCGCACCACGGAGCCTCCGCTCGCTGCCACGCAGCGACAGCGGGACCGGGCGGAGTGAGAAGGGGGTACGGCCGTGTCCCCCCGGAGCTCACCCCGCTATCCAGCTCCTGGGGGATTTCCATCGTGACACCTACTCCCTGAGACAGAAGCAGTCCAAAGAGGGGGATCTTCCAATCCCCGTCCTATCTTCCTCTCCCAGGTTTGGTGGGGAGGAAGGGAAGCAATCCTCAGGCTTTGTGGCCAGTTTTTGCTGCTAGGAGCTGGTCAGAAAGGCTGCGGACTGCGGGCTGGATCTCCCGCAGAGCTTGGGGGGCTGGCAGTCCCTTACTTTGGGGAGAAGGAGAGCAGGGCTACAGCGTCGGAACGGAGCGCGCCTCGGGGGGAGGGCGAAGCCCAGCAAAACCCAGCTCCGCCGAAGTGCATTAGGTGGAGGAAGTCTATCTCTAGCGGGGAGCAGATTGAGTGTATTAAGCTAGCATGAAACCAAAGGTCAGTGCAAATGTATCTTAATAGACTGTCTCAAATGGAGTGTGCCTCCTTTGAAGGCCGCTTGCTATTGCTCTCCTCATTACCATAGCGATCCTAACGTGGCATGCTGATGCACCATAAAACTCACACTTTCAACCCCAAAATCAGGCCCTTTGAACAACCCGAGCTTGATTAGACCTTTCTCCTTTTCTTTCCCCCCTTAAAAACCATTTCCTTGCCTTTAGAAACTCGCCCTCAAATCCCAAATGCATTCTCTGATCCTGGCAGAAAGCAGAAACAAAAGTGAGCTGAGGCGACGGTTCAAGCGGGCCTTTTCTTCCTGACAGTCTTATCCATTTTTATTATGGTCTGGAACAAGTGCCCTGTTCGCGTGGGTTTTGTTTACCGGAAATTAAATGAAAATGATTTAGTTCGCGTCAAACAAAAATATATACTTGTATACACAAGAAAAAGGGCCTGTTAGACGTAAATATTATGTCCTTAATGAAAAGACTGGACGGGCTCCAGACTTCGCCTTTCACTATTTAAGTATGACTTGCCTATTGCCATAGAAATCCTAACTTACCATGAAGATTCACCGTTGTGAAGAAATACTTCTTTGTGCGAGCTTGCTTTGATGTCTAAGGCATAAGATTCAGGCTTTCAGCTGCGTCTGTCTAGATTACCTTGAGAGCAACGGGGTAGACATCTGTAACAAGCAAATGAAAAATTAAAGGTGATTAGCCTGCACATCCAAATATTTCTGTAAATAGAGAAATAAAGAAATAAACAGATCTCGGGACATGATGGAAACATCCTCCCTACCCGCATCTGGCTTCTGCACTTCTCGATTTCCATGACACAAGTTTCGGGGGCTGGAGAAGGGCACAACTCTCCCCTATTTAGATTCCTCTTTCACACATTGCTCTCACCTAGCTGATTCCCTAAGTGTATTCCCGTTAGCGACATGCTGTCGTCACTATCCGTGGTGTTTAAACACAAAAGTTGTTGAGTTTGGGCGAATGAAGAAAGGAACGCCGATTTGGTGCCTTGGGGAAAAATACGGGTGTATAAGTGAGTAAAGCACTGGGCATTGGGATGTTTGTAGTCACTGACCAGCTATTTATTTTCCTACCGCTTTTATATTTCTCGGTATCAACACACACGTGTGTATGTACGTGCGTGTACAGTTGTACACACACAGTCACCTGGGTGCGGAGGTGATCTGTCAAACACCAGAGGATGCGCTCACAGCAGCCTTCTGTCTGCTTTCCGCAAGCCATAGAAACCCTTTCCAGCAGCCTATGCTATTTATTTGCCTATACTATCTGGTATTCTTAAACATAATTAAAGTAATTAAAACGGCACCATTCGGTAGTTTCAAGCTACCCCAGTGGAGAGGTTTGTTTATTTATTTTGGGGGTTGTTTATTTTTTTTTACCTCCCTCCCTTCTTTCTGTGAACCAGTGCAATGAACCCTGTAGGTCTGAGACTCTGGGACAGCACGGAGATGCTAAAGCCGCGTTGTGGGAGCGGTTGGTTTCTCCTCGGGGCTGTTCGCAGGGCAGAGGCGAGGAGCAGCGGCCCCAGGTCCCCGCGCTGCCGGGGGCTGCCCGGCCCCCGCCCTGGCAGTGACGTCACGGAATGGGCTCCCCCCACCCCGCCAGAACCGCCCCCCCGGGAGCTCCAGCGCCCACGGTTCAACAGGAGCCGCACTCTGGGTGGGGACGGGCATGTTTAGGTATTAGGAGTCATTACCAGTGGGAGCTAAAATGGACAGTCAATCATCGCACCCCCCTGGGCCTTTCTTTATTAGCGACTACTGGGTGGGGGGAGGAAATATATATATATGTATTTATATACAGAAAGAGGGAAAAGTAAGGAGATTCTTTACAGAAACGTCCATTGAACGGGTTAATTAATCAAAAATTTAATGGATCCATTTTGTACAAATTGGTAACAAATAATAGTTTATATACATATATATATATATTTCTTTAAAAAAACACACTCTCACAGAAAATCGTGGGCAAAAAGAACAGTGCAGCACACAATACTGTTGACAAGAGAAAATCTGTACAGAAAAAAATCTGTATGAAACCACTGAAGGGAAAGGGAAAGGAAAACGGGAAGAGGAAGGGAAAGGAAGGGAAGGAAAGGGAAAAGGACAGGGATAAAGAACGGGAATGCAAATCAGCTGGCACGTAAACAAACTGGAGCAAGGCGGTCAGAGCGGGGGTGTGTGGCACGGCGGGAGGAGGCGGCAGCGCCCCGGCCGAGGCGAGCGCAGCCCTCCCGTGCGCGGTGCCGGGGGCGCAGGCCGGGCCCACCCGCGCGCTCCGCAGCCTCTCCCTCCGCCAAGCGCCTCTCGCTGCCGCTCCCGCTCGGCTTCCCCGTGCCCGGCGCGGCGCCTTCCGTGCCGGCCGGGCCGGGCCGGGCCTAACAGCGGGGCCGGGGCTCGGTGGGGAGGCGCGGCGGCGGGGAGGCGCCGGGGGGCCCGGGGGGGCCGCGGGGCCCCGCGCCTTGACACACGTACCATTCGCTCAGGTTGGCGGCGGGCTGCGCGGGCGCGGAGGGCTCAGCGTGGGAGCAGGAGGCGGGGGGCTCCCGGCCGGAGTCCGAGGAGGGGGACACCAAGGAGGGCGTGGAGGACTCGTAGCCGGAGCTGGGAGGAGGGGATTTGCAGTGCACTTTCATGTGTTTTCTCAGGGAGCTGGGGTGGGTGTAGGACTTGTCGCAGCCTCTCACTTTGCAGTTGTAGGGCTTGTCGCTGGTGTGGACATGCGAGTGCTTCTTCCTGTCGCTGCTGTTGGCGAAGCGCCTGTCACAGCCCTCGAATTCACATTTGAACGGCTTCTCCCCTGCAGGAGGCAATGGGCGAGCACAGCCATTAGCGGCGACGGCGGGGCCGGGAGCAGCGCATCCCTCACCCCCACAGCCTCCCCGGACCCCTCTCTCCGGCCCTGCCACGGCTCCTCTCCCCGCGGAATCTCCTCTCACTAGCCCTGCCCTTTCCCGCGGGCCCCGCCGAGCATCCCCCGGAGCCGCCGCTCCGTGCCCACCCGAACGCACACGGGGCGCCCTGGCCAGCCAGCTTCTCCTTCTCTTTCCCCTGGCCTGTGTGTGTGTCATCGTAAGGGTTTGTGCAAAAGACAAAGCTCCGAAACAAGGAAAACTTAGAGGAGAACTGCTCGTTCCTAGCAAACTTGTGCTGTCCCCGCAGACTCCGAAGTCCTGCAGAAAGAGCGGTCAGTGATTTATCCCTTTGAAGGCTTTTACGTTAAATACATTTCTCACAGTCCCCCAGGCACGTGGAAATATTTTCCATAACCTGGTTAGATCATATTTCATCCACTTCATATTTGTACTGATTACAATGCCATGGAAGATCCACATCCCCTTCCTTTCCCTGCTCCCCAGCTTGCTGATACAATGTGCTAAAGTACGAAATATTTTAGAAAGACACTGATTGTACGGGAAAAACGATAAAGATTCAGCAGAAGGATGACTAGGCCAGCGCACGGCACTGTCGCGAGGGTAGGATTCCCTTTTCATTTCAACCTACACAGCCACTGGAGGAATTGCAATCGGGATTAAATTGTCTGATCATATAATAAGCGATGTTACGCATAATAGAAATACAATCGTGTTGCTGGAGTCGTGTGAAAGTGTAACCTCGAATGGTGTGGACCTGGCATGGTAGACGATATGCAGGAGGTTTTCAAGGAAACACGCCACAGCCACAGCAGGATGAAATGCTGACGGCATTATTGTCGCTGACAATAGCAAACTGCAAAACCCTGTTTGCCAAGGGGTACCCAGGTCCTGTACCAACCGATTATGAAAATATCCTCCTCATCCGTCAAAAGTCAAAAAGTATCAGGGAGGAGAGGATTCTACAAAAATACATGGCCTAACCTTAATGTGAAGTGCAAACAAAGCAACTGTGTTCACCATCATGGCGTATGTAGCCGAAAGGACTTCCAATATTTGGGTTTGTGTGTTTATTTTGGCTTGGGTTTTTTAATTTCTTGGGTTGTGCATTTGTGGTTGTCGTTTTTAATTTTTTTCCCTCTCAATTCGTCATGATTAAATGTAGGAGAGACTCAGTCTACATCGGGCTCGGCTGCGAGCAGAGACAAATAAAGGAAGGCATTCCAAATATTTCACATGAATGCACTTTATGCAAGGTGGGTGGGAAAGGCTCATGGCTCCCCGTTTAAAGTATGCCCTTTCCGCACTGTAATGGTCAATGAGGAGCACTGACATCCTGCACCGCTAACATTTGCACAGAGGATGGGTAAATATCTGGCGTTGGAGGGAAGGGAAAGAAGAGGTTAAAAAATAAGGTCTCTCACAAAACGATGCGGATTCTGTAACCAAATACCGTCGACATACAGCGGTGCATATGCATAGACACACGCCCGCCTATAATCTAATTAGAGTTCCACGTAAGGAAATAATTTGACCTTCAGCATCTAAGTTGAGACAACAAATCAAGGATATTAGTGTAGTACAAGCAAGCAGTAAGTTAGGAGACCCCAGGGAAAGCCATCCTCATAAGCACTCTGCTTGTGCAAAGTGAGTTTCATTCAGGTAAAAGCGGGCTGCGCCGCACTGCGCTTTGCCGAGTTGAAAAATGTTCAACTTCGCTTAACCCCCTGAAAGAGCCACTGAAAGGTCCGTCCGTGCAGCCGGGTTTCAAGTGGGAAGAGGGCAGCATTTTCTCAGCTGCCCGGGTTGCATTCCCTGAACGCCTCAATAAAGAGGAGCCATCCGAGCCATTTGCAAGTATTCCTTTCGCGAGAGCAGGTTTTCTTTCGCGGAAATCCCTGCCCGGCAGGGAGAGGACACTGCACAGGTCCCGGCTGCCGCAGCCCGGGCACGGAGCCGCAGCCACGCACAAAGTTCCGCGGGCGATGGAGACTCAACCGCCATTTTAGCCCCACACTTGTAGCTGGGCAAAAGTGTTCAGTGAAACTCAGCCTGGAATTTGTGGCATAATCCCCCGTCTCCGGGAGTGGATTAAGGTATTTACCAACTTCTCCGGGTGAGCGGTGGCGGGGGGAAGCCGGAGCTGGCGGCTCCCGGGCTGCGGGCGAGGCGCGGGGGCGGCGGGGGCCGCAGGGGGGGAGCGGGGCTCCGTCCCACGCCTCGCACTATTGTTCCTGGCCCTCAGGAAAGGCGGTGAAGTGATCCCAGCCCGTCCTGCTCGTCCCGTTGCCGCCGCCTTAACGGCCTTATCCTCCAACCTGGAAAGCTCGTACACAGCCAGATATCCCTCTGCCTGCTCCCCAGCCTCGGAGAAATCAGAAGTCATTAATATTTAAGGAGGCAATAATTTTCCTGTTGAATCTAGAACCGTCTTCATGAATAATTCGTAGTGAGTTCTATCAGGGTTTCAGAAACATTGCGTTTTTGACAACTTCTGGGTGTTTAATAGAGACGCTGGAACCATAAAGGCCCTGCAGGAGTTTGCACAATACAGCAATTAATCACCGAGAAAGTTAAAGCCAAAAGTACAGACGCGCCGAATGGTGTTTAATAAACGCAAATCTTCGCTCTCGGGTTTGCCCTGAACCTGCATCTCCGATGTAGGTCAGTTTTCCCAAGAATTTAACCATTTTCTGCTTCAGAGACTTCAAACAGTGAGGCCGTTAAAGAGCAGTAAAAGTTTGTTTACTTAAGAAAAACACTATCATTAAGAGATGAGCTCTCCCGGTTAATGGCTGTACCTGTGCTGATCCAACAAGGAACTGGCTGGGATACAAGTTACGTGACCCGGGGATACCCCTTTTTCGAGGAAAAAGGGGGCCAAGAAGGCAGCCGAGGAACACAACTATGCTGTCGTCCACCTCCTCCCCCCACCCCCCCGCCCCGCACACAGGCTTACTCCTTCCTCATAGAGCGATGGAAAAATAATGAGGTGACGAGTGACGGTCGCTGTAAAATCTCAGTGCTATGTTTAGATGATAGCGATACGAAATTAGTGTATGTTCTGCATATTATATCACGTCGCGCTCTATCATAAAAAATGCAACTCCTGGAAGGTCAAGCCCTGCACAGAGCATGGGGGAAGGGGAGTTTTATGAACTGGAAGGCGAAAAAAATCGTTTGGCTGTAAGCAGATCTTACAATAGGATTATGTAGTTTCCCTCGCAGTGCATAAGGCTGTACAGAAGGGGGTGGGAGGTGGAAAACCCTACACTGGAACAGATTAAATTTTCCAAAAAGGGCTTATTTCTTATCTTCTTCTTTAGAGAAGGAAAAAATAAAAAAAAAAAAAAAGAAAAAAAAAAAGAAAAAAAAGACAATCCAGCGCTATGGACTACAAACACCGGCTGCTAAACTAATTAATACAACTTCACAAGCTGCTCCTGGAAGTGTGAAAACTTTCTACGTGCAATTTCATTAATTATAAATGCTTTCCTGGCCGGAAGAGTTCAAACGTAGTTCTGCAAGATCGTCCATCGTGTTACTTTATTTTCTGTTAACTAGAACTAACAGATGTTTCTGACACATGTCCCAATTTCACTTAACAGATCTGCAAATGACATTTCAGAATGTACAGGCCGAAACAACACAAGGGTTTCTTTTCTTTCTTTTCTTTTTTTTTTTTTTTTTTTTTTTTCCCCTCACGAGAATCAGAAATCGCAGCTCCCCATATTTGCGAATGCAGAAAGTCGTTGGAAGGCAATGCTCATTAAAAATGTCAGTGTTATTCAGATCAAACATTTGAAACTCCCTCTGCCCAAAACAGAACTGTTGAACGAAAAGGTCGCAGCTGTGTTATTCTCACAATGTTCGAGCAGCAGCATCTCAGCGACATCAGTCAAAACTGACTAGACAAGTTGTAACTTCCATTGTTCACTTTTAATTTGTGAGCTTGCACAATGATTTCATTTTTTCCCCCCGACTACTTTAAATAGGAAAAAAAAACCCAAAAACCCTCGCCTGTGTGAATTAGCAGAAATAGTAGCTATATCGTTCGATATTTACATAAATCTACTCATATAAACATTACAGCAACCTCTCCACACAATCAGAAAAAAAATATGGACGAGAATTCTGAGATTTGCTCTCGCTCTCCCCTTCCCCCCCTTTCCTCCCCCTTCACCAAACGGTAAAGAAGCAAACAAATCTGAGAATTTATTTTCCAGAAGTACTTGGCGTGCATTCAATAACAACTCAAAGGATACATTAAAAAAAAAAAAAAAAAAAAAAAAAAAAAGTAGAAAATCAGTACGCGGAATAACGGAGAGAAAGAGAGTAAATAGAGCTTTACATACTGACCTGTATGAGTTCTTTTGTGTATTTTGAGATTCTCTGATCTGGCAAACACTTTGCCACAGCCTGGGAAAGGACAGGGGAAAGGTTTTTCACCTGTGTGGACTCTGATGTGATTTACAAGTTTATATTTGGCCTTGAAAGGTTTCCCTTCTCTTGGACACTCTTCCCAGAAACATATGTGATTGGACTGCTCGGGTCCTCCAACGTGCTCCACCGTGACATGAGTCACCAGCTCGTGCATCGTGCTGAAAGTTTTCGAGCATAATTTTTTGGGAGTCTGGTCCAACTCAATCCACTTACAGATGAGTTCCTGTTTGATGGGCTGCCTCATGTAACGAAAGAAGGCACCCGGGCCGTGATGTGGAGCCAGGTTCACGTTCAGATTCATACCACCGTAGTTATGAAGTGAAGAAGCAGCAAAATGATCTGTCCTGGAGGCTGGTACTTGAGTGAAATGTTCAGACCTGGCGTACATTTCTCCAGGTAACCCCAGTCTGAGCTGTCCGTTTAGATGGCCACCTGGAGCTGCATGGGGAGGCTGCTCATGGAGTCCAGTGAACAGAGAGGTATTCCCAGCTTCTGAGTGGTGGTGCTGGTGCCCATGGTGTCCGGGGTAGCTACCTGTTGTTGAGACAAACAGTCCGTGGTGAGAACTTGCAGCGGGGTGCTGCTCGGTCAGCCCTGGCATGAGTGGGGCCGGCAGGTCTCTGCGTATGAAGAAGTCCCTACCTGCTGCCAGAGCCTGGGCTGGGTGAGAGACGGGGTAAGGGGCTGCTGGTGACTGCGCCGGGCCAAACGCTGCCGTTTGACTAGAGACCACCTCGGCTTGGCCTGCCATATGATGATGATGATGATGATGATGATGGTGGTGGTGGTGGTGGAGCTGGTGGTGGGGATGAGGGGCAGGGCTGATCTTAAGGACCGCGGGGTGATGCTGAGGAGGAGGATGAGGAGGAGGATGGTGGCGGTGCCCCATGTGTTCTGGCCGGAGCTGCTGCGGCCCGAGGCGGGACTCGGCGGCGTGTTGCCCCGGCTGCGTGGGCGCCGTGGTGTGGGGGTGCCCGGCGAGGCCCGGGAAGCCTGTCATGCTCTGAGGGGGGTGGTGATGGTGGCGAGGAGCCCCCGCCAAGTCTGCTAATCTCAGCGCCGTGTTCCGCCTGGAGAGAGCAGCAGGGTCCATCACCGGGATCCCCAGAGCATCCACGCTCATTAGCTTCTAACGCTAAAAAGTCACCTGACAGCGGGAGGAGAGATACACAGGGCAGCGGGGGGGAAGGAGGGGAGCGAGGGAAACAACTTTCTCCTTTTTTTTCTTTTTCTTTTTTTTTTTTTTTTCTCCTTTCTCCCAAAATAAAAAAGTTTCCCGGTCCCGCTGCCCTGGCGCGGGACGCACGGGCGGCTGTGCCAGCGGGTGGGCTGGGGGCCGGCGGGAGGCTTTGGCGGCGGCCGGGGAGGTCCCGCGGCGCGGCCCGTCCTGCCCGGGGCCGGGGAGGCCCTCACGGCGCGGCGGGTCCGGCCTCGCCGCTGCCCCGCCGGCCGCACAATCGCCGCGCCCGCCCATTGGCTGCCGCCGCCGTGACGTCACCGCGACAGGTCCCGCCGCCGCCTGAAAGGGAGATCGCCGGTGCCGCGGGGGGCGAGCGCGGGGACGGGCTGCGCATGCGCTCCCGCGCCAACCCTTCTCCCGGCGTCCCCATCTGGGGCCCGGCCCGGCACTGGGGCTTTTTCTTTTGGGTCTCCGCCCGGGGGTCTCCGCCCGGGGCCGGCCACTGCCGGGCTTCCGCCTGCGGCCGGGAAAAAAGCCTCGGCGGGAGTGGAGGGCATCGCCCCGGCCTCCCCCTCGCCTCTGTCCATTCCCGCTGCCCTGCCCTGAGAGAAGGGGCGGCCGCGGGGCTCGCCCCCGGGAGAGCACGGGCAGCCCCGCCGGTCCCCGCCGCCCGGCCGGAGCAGCGGGAGCCGGAGCGGTGCCGGAGCCGGTCCTGCCGGCGGGCCCTCGGCACTTGTTGCAGCGCGGGGAGAGAGAGGGTCCTTGCCCGGCAGAAGCTCGGCCGGAGCCGCGCCGGCCGCTCGCTGGCCAGGCCTGATCAGCCCGGACTCGGGTACCGGCCCGCGACTGGGCTGCCCCTGGGCCCCGACAGAGGATCCCTGAGACTCCCATTCCCTTCCCCCTCCTCGGACAAGTTTCATCTGTTCATAAAGTTATCTGATGACTGGCCGCCAGAGCAATGCGAGAAATCGTGATGTTCAGGCTGAATCTGAGTGTTTAACCCAGAAGAGGGAGTCTCTCCCTTTCCCTCTCTCACTTTCTCTCACGCACACTTACAGGGTAGTTCCACGTAAAATCCCCGTCCTTGGCTTGAAGGAAAAGCATTGCCAAACATTCATAGTGGACTCGGTTCTGATGATTCTCACCTGAAGGAAATAACATGGTCTGCAGGGTTTGCGTGCTAGTAGTGGAAGTGTGGGTTTGGGGTTTAGCTGGACACACTGAGGCCTTACAGGTTTAGAAAAGCTTAGGGCTTCAGCACAGGAGGATGCATCTGCTTAAGTTTTTATGGAGGGGATTGTGAACTTAAAAAAAGTTAATGAAACATGGGAAAAGATTGTTCTGCTCCAAGAAAGAAAAACATATCTTTAAATATCTACCCACTGTATTACCACAATACTTGGATCCTGACACAAAAACGGCTCCACCAATAACCTCACAGTCTTATGAAATATAGCAATGATTAATTCTCTACCCATCCTATCAAACTCTCATCATTTTAATACATTGACTCGCTGTTAACTTGCCAGTGGGTTCTTTACCAGATGCATGTCAGGTAAAGCTCCCAGCACAGAATTTTGCGTTTCCATAAGAATTTAAGTGTTGGCAATCAATAGGCTTTATGTGAAGTAGTAAAACAAGAAACTACTTGGCAATGTCAACCCACCTACTTTCATAACTGAAGCTGCAAGGCAATGGCTGGAAACCATAAGATTAAAGTTTAGGACATACATAACCACATAGGAGACATCTTTGTCACAGCTCTGCATATTCTGGGTTGGCTGCAATCACGTATTTTGTTTCTGCTTGCATTTACCATACTTGCACCGTAAAACTAGGTGCATATTCAGGTAGCTAGCTATAGATACATCCTTGCACACATCTTTCTGAGTGGAGATGATGAAAAGTGACAAATGATGCAATTAGCTCCCCAACCTTACATAACATGTTTACGCAGGCATTTTAAACCACACACCATCCTCACAATATCTCAACTTTCAAGTCTACTTGCTCTACGAAATGGATTTGACAGTCCTATTCATGACCATCTCAATAGGAGTGCACAGAAGAGACAAACGTTAGGAAGTATGAATCTGTTACTTACAAATGTACTGAGACTGTGAATCCCAAATAAAGCTGCTTTCCTCACACCTCCTTAAAACACTGCATCTCTACATACTTGTTATCCATCATTTCTGACACTTCTCAGTCAAGGGAGAAAGCATCTGGAAGAGTTTGCCAATTAAAAAAAGTCATAACCATTTTGCCCTAAGTTCATTTCAAATGTTGTGAGGATTTCTTGCCAGACACTCATGGCTCTCAGTTGCCCCCCACTCAGGGCCGTCTCTCACAGCCTTTTCCAGGCAGCGTAGGAGAACCTGGCCCTCGGTGTCCCTCACTGTAAGGTGAGGTTGATGTGAGCCCCGGTTGTGTGCGTGGGGGGAGCGGGCGGGGGCCGCCACATGACTGCGGGGAGGCGGAGAAACGGGGAAGAGGAGGGGAGCGGGCCCAGACCGGACGGGCTCCGCTCATCTCCCACAATGTTTTGAAAACTTGAACGCCTGTCTGTGCAGCCCTTTGGCAGCTGGGGCTCATACTGCTGCCACTCGAGAGGTGACCGAGGTCTCCTGCTTCTTGGCAGCGGCCTGAGCCCCGATTGACCGGACACGCCGGGCTCTCGGCAAACTCTCAAATGTGTCAACAACAGCTTCTGCCGGGCCAGCAAACTGGCTGCTTGATCCTGAGTACGAATTTTCCTGTGGCTGCTGTGTGTCCGCGACCCCGTCCTCAGCCCCTGGCCCCAAAGCTAGCCCGAGCTGGAGGGTTGTTCTAAAGAGGTGACACATTGTCAAGACGAGTCACAAGCACTTCTCCGACCCGGCTCTCGTGGAAGAAGGCCGGGGCTGTGCCCTGGCTGAGGGCTGAGCTGTCCCCCCCGCTTTCCGCTCCGCCATGCGGGGCCCAGAGCTCCGCCTGCCGCAGCTCGGGGAGGGCGGCCCGCGGGGCAGCCCCGACCCTCCGGCCCCTGCCCGCACCCCCGCCCCGCCGGGGCCTGCGGCGTGACACCGGCTGCACATCCCTTTGCGGGATGGGAACAGCCCCAGCTGCTCATCGGCTTCACCTTAGCCTTGTTCTTTCGGTAGTAATCTACCTAAACATCAAGATGCTTGTGGCTATCTCTAATATTGCTTCAAAGACACAGCCCCCTTTCTAACCGTGCTCAGGTCAAGGCACAGCTCCTGCCCTCGGGAAGTACTGAAGAACGCCAAATTTGACCTTCATCCCCTCCGTATTCTCCCACTTCCACCTCTGTGGAAACTTCCCTACCAGCCAGCTACAAAATATCCAGCCGGTGCCCGAAGGCTGGGCCAGGCCGGGATGCTCTGAACAATTCAGAGAGGCTTCGGGGGTTACTTTTTTAGGCTTCAAATCCCGAAGGAGAGGAGGCGAACAGATCTGTCTGAAAACCCCTCATCTTTACTGTGGGAAAGAGAAAAAACTCGAGGAGTGAAAACAGAGAGGACCAAGAAAGCCACCCTGCGCGATTCCTTATCCCTTAAACTCTCTTTGGCAGAGAGGGATGCGGGAAGCAGACTCAGGACCTGAGCCCGAGTCCCTGCCTGCCCCCGGCAGAAGGCACTGCTGGTTAGGAAGAGGTGATTCAAGAACGCCTTTCAGCAATCCCAGTTTCACCTCAGGGAGGAGAGGGTACCGAGTAGCTCGAGAGCACACTCTGCCTTTGTTTTTACTCTCTCGCCCCATATCCACTTACGGGGACTTCTTTATTTCAGGGTTCCCGAACAATGGGAAGTCAGCCACCAGACAAGCAACGGTTTGTGCCTAGGTTTGCCGCTCACATTTTGTGACCTAGAGCTACCCTAGGACAAGCAAATCATATGCTTATTTTAAATAGAATATTTCATTCAGGACCTCAAGATTAAGGTATTCCTGTCAGATAAGCTGTCAGTCACTGACTACTTAGACACCACATTGTGGAAGCCTGGTATCCCTGGTAAAGATGATACATATCATGTAAACCCCATCAACAAGATCAAAGTCTTCTTCTTTAATAGGATCCAATACATGTCAAACCTCATTCCAATCAAATCGTCCGTAAATGAATTCAAGATGAATATGTCATAGAATAATGTGACAGTGCAATCACATGGGGTCAGGGGTTGTTGTTTCAATGAGAGAGTCGTCAAATATTAATTCTAGAACCTCCAAATGAATAGGCATTGAGCAGGATTAGGCAGCTGCTGGTGGGGTGTTCTGTCGCTGATTTGTGTTTACGCAAGTACGTTAAACACTAAGCTGAAAAAAAATACAGTCTCCTTTGAACAGTAAAAGGGACATATTTTAACTTACTTGACTTTTCCAGGATGTTTCTGTAAAGTCGTTTTCTTTTCCTCATTACGAGGGGAGTCTTGTGCCTCATTTCTTGACTTTGTTCCTGTTTGGGGAGAGAGGTAGAAAGTTAAGAGCAAAACTATTCATGTGTGATATGGAATGAGTGAGGCACCCTGTATGTTGGGCATCATGGATTCAAAAAGAAAAGGAAAAAACCCCAAAAATCCAAGAACCCCCAACCTATAAAACCAAACCAAAACACAAGTTAGGCAATGAGAGGGGAAGAGAATCTTTCTCCGAGGGGAAACTGGAGGCTGTCTCCCCAGCAAAGCAGCACATGTTTTATGGAGTCATGAAGTTTCCATGGTTGATTTAGGGGGAAAAAAAAATATGAAAGGACATCTTTTCAGTTCTCCTTTGATCTGACATTCACCTTCTGGCAGGCTATTGTAAGGCAAGTTTTTACCCACTCGGCTATATTGTTTACAGATCCTTCCGTCCCGAAATTAAATTCCGGACTCTCTGCGAGCCTCCAACACAAGTTGTTGTCTCAGCAAGGATTAGTATAGTACCACCCTGGCACTTCTCCCTGCCTATAATTTTCAGCTTGCTCTTTGCTCTCTGTAAGGCAGAGCACTGCCACTGCTACAGGCAGAACTTTGCACAGCTTGCTTTGAGCGGCAGCAATAGCTTTGAGAGCAGATCTGGGGCTGGAAGCAGTCTGAGTCTGAATTTTTGCAGATATCTATGAAATTCTCAAGATTTTGTTTGTTTGGTTTTTAATATAGAAAAGCACACTAGAATCTGGAATCAGTTACTTAAAACGACATTATTATTATTATTATTATTATTACTCTCGCTATATTATTATTATTACTCTTGCTAGTATTATTATAGGCACTCCAGAGCTAGTAAACAAAAATCTGTACTAAGACAAACACTTGATGATATTAATTACGAAACTTCATCATGGTATCATAATCTTTCATAAATAATTTGATGTCCTCAGTATTTTCACTGCTGTGATGAAAAATACTGTCAAAACTTTAACAATCCATTAGGAATTAAAATTCCTAGTCAACTTCCATTCATTCTCGCACTTTTCCCAAGTCAGAGCGGCCAACATTGCCCCGCTAGTGAGAGGTTTGCAGGAGCTGTGCTTTATTGGTTAGGATGGGAGGCTGGAGGAGTGCTCAGTTCCCAAGTGTTCGCCAAAACTTGTTGAAACTGGACAAAAAAAAAAAAAATCGCTGCATTTAATATTTCAAATGGCTACCAGATGACAAAAAGGAAGGCAAAACAGTTCTGCATTTCAGAGTAAATATTGGCTAAAACTCTGGCTCGACCTCGCACGCTTTTCTCATCCGCACTGTGCCGTCGGCGGAGCAGGAGGGTGAAGATGTCCCCTTGCACAAGGCATTGGGATGTCGGGCGCTAGTGTGGGGTACCAGTTCCCCGCGGTGTCGCGCTGGGGTGCGATGGAACCCGCCCGTCCCCTCCCCTGGACGCTCGCTCCCGCGCCGGGTGGAAGGAGCCGGCTGAGCGGGGCCGGAGCAGCCGCCGCGGGGCATCCCGGGGGCCGCGGGGAGCTTGTGAGCCAGACCGAGTGGGCTGCAGCAGCGGCGGGTGTGCCCCGCCACCACCGGCTTGTCACGCAACCTGGACTTTCCGCGGCCGCGCAGGGCGGAGGGAGCGTTCCCCAGGAAGGGCTCGGTGCAGAAATAAAGTTTCTCGTCTCCGGGTGAAGAGAGACCCGAGAAAAGCCCGGCCAACGGGCTGGACTCCCCGGGGCTGAGGGATCGTGCGTGACAAAGGAGTGACCGGAAAGGGGTCGGCGAGAAGCCCAAGCGAGCCCCCATGGGTCGGCGCTGTGCCGGTGCCCGCGGCTGGTACACTGACTTGGACTCGGGTCAGAGGTCACCTTCGGGTGTATCGCCCTGGGCAGGGGTTTGGGAGCTTTCCCCCTTCCCCGGCCGGTTTCAGACACGGGACGGCCCCTCGGGGCCGGGAGCGGGGTCGCAGCCCCTCCCCGGGCTGTGCGCGGAGTAGGCGGCAGCACCCAGTTCCCTGAGCAGCGCCCCCGGCTCTGCCTGCGGGGGGCGGAGAGAGGCCGGAGGGGGCCGGCCGAGCTGCCGGGCTCCGTCCCTCCCGCACCCGCCTATAAAGCAGGGCTTGAGGTGCCGGGTCTCCCGGAGGGCCCCCGTGGCACCGGGCGCGGCGGTGGGCGAGGTTCTGGGCGGGGAGCGCGTCCCCAGGGACGCCTCCCCACGGGGCTCGCCATTGTCAGCCCTCGTCCCCCCTCTGCGCGCCGTCCCGGGTTCCCGGCCCTGCCCGGGCTGCCGCAGGATCCTTCCGGTCCCGGTGCTTGCCCGTCCGAAGCCAGCCCGGTGGCAGTCGGGGCGGGGAGCGCCTCAGCCCCGCTCTGCGCACCCCGCAGCCCTGTTCCGCGGAGCTCCGCCGCTATGCTCCTCCAGGCCGAGCCTCCCTTTGCATTTAGGGGGGCGGGCGCGGCTCCCGGCGTCCGACAGAAGGTGTCGGATCCCCCCTTCGGTGCTTCCCGGGTTCTCGGCCCTCCGCCCGCCCCCGCCCGCCGAGGTGCAGCCGGGACCCTGCCCCACGTGGGCGAGGGGCAGCCGAGGCGCTTGTCCCCCCCCGCACCGCAAGGTTCCAGCCCTTCTTCCCGGGGTGGCCAAGCCTCCTCCAGACGACACCCCCTCCCCCGACGACAGGGAGCTCTCTTCCAGCCCTTGGGGCAGGCGGTGGGGGCTAGCCAAATGCCTCGACTGCACAGGCACCCTCTACACCCAAGCACTTACCCCTGCGACCTGTTGAAGGTTTCCCCTCATTTCTGAACTGGCGAAAATAAAAGTGGGGGTGGAGGGGAAGGGAAAAGAAAGAAAGAATGAAAGAAGAAAACAATACCCCCCCCCCCCCTAAGAACCCACCACCTCTTTGGCGCTTGCATCGAGGCGGTCATCCTTCATTTCTTCTTTTCTTGCTTTCTGGAAGCAGTTAGGGAATGTATGATGAAGCAGAAATGAGCCGTCAGGATGATATTTTAATGGCTTATATGTCACGTTGGTGCATGTGGCTTTGAACTGGAGCAGCTTTCGTTTCCTGCAGAGAGCGCACCGCAAATCCCACTTGATAACTTCTACAACCCACAACATTTTTTTTTTTTTTTACATTCACTCTTACACTGTATATTTAGATACGCTTCCTAAAAATACCTTCTCGTCTGCCTTCTCGTACATTTTGCACCGACCTGGAATGATCACTGGTTTCCCCTTGCACTGGGAGGCAGGCTAGCACTGAACTACCCAACTTTCCAGCTCTCCGAATGCCATCGCCCAGCACACTTCACAATAAGGCTGACAGCTCTGTCCTTCGCCTAATTTTAGCACCAAATACAGAAAGTAGTGCAACACCCGCCTCAAGACTATGTCCACACCCAGGCGCTCCCTAGAGCGGGTATACCTGTTGCTCTGAGCTATTGCAATTCCACCAAATGGATTCTGTAGAATAAATGCAAACGTGTAGATTCAACTCACACTTATTCTAAAAAAAAAAAAAAAACCAAACAACCCCAAAACCCACCAAACCCTGTAAAGCCTCCCGAGATCCAAGGAAAATTACATAATAGATCTGCTTTGAAAGCTGTCTCCTGCACCGAGCACAGGCACACTGCGTCTGCAGATAAACTGCAGGGAACATTCCGTCAAGGCGTATCAAAGTTTATTTATTGTCGTTGATGTTTGTTTGTTTGTTTTCTAGCCGCAATGGCCATTTTATACCTCTCAAAATGAGGCAGTTCTCGCCCGAGAAGGGTTCTCGCAGCAGCGCTGCCGGTCCGACTCCCCAGTACCTGCGCTGCGGATTGCTTACCAGCGGCTATAATTAGAGAGGATGAGTTTAAAGTTTCTTTGTTTGGAACTAGGAATTGGAGGGGCTCGGACTGAGCTGCGAAGGAGGCAAGTGAGGGACTGAACAAAGGCGAAATGTATGGAGTCTGACTCTTAGCGAGCTTTTGGTGTTTTCGTTACTAGAAAATAATTAGAGCTAATGAATATGCAGGCGAGCGAGTAAATAAATAAATTGCCAGTTTTATATATGTACGCACATGAGCACATACGTAAGTGTGTCTATACATACACACACAAAGACGTCTATATTTTAAAGTTTCCTGAGATATTTTTTAAGAGCCGAAGCATCGTTTAAAATATTGCACAAATGTTGCTTAGCTTAATTGATTAAGCCACTAAGGTTTTCTGCTTTTAAATACCATACTTATACATTTGAACAATCATTTTAATATATAGTCAATGGCTCTTTGTAGCGGGAACAAAAAAGAACTATCCACAGTTTTTCAATAGACTTTGAGCTGGGGAAAGACAGGTTAATCGAGGGTTGCATCTAGAAAACAACCAAGTGTTGTATGTTTGCACTGAATCCAAATGTCTGCATTTTTCTAACTAAATCAAAGGGAGTGTTATTTCTTTTTCTGCTCACTCATCTGAAGGTAAGTAAATTTTCTCTGGCGATCAAAAGCCTGGTCAGCAACAAAGACACCGCCTGCTTTTTCCACCGTCCTGGTGTGGCAAGTTGAGGAATTTCAATAACTGTGACAAGGGTGACTGATTTGTGAACTAGAAAAGGTTTGAATGTCAGAAAATTTACATTGCTCCTATCGAGGACTTAAAATAAATTTCCTTCCCCCCCCCCCCCCCCCCCAAAAAAAAAAAAAAAAAAAAGAGAGAGACAGAGAAAAGTAACCGTGAGTTACAGTAGGAGGAGAAATAATGTAGGTTTGGAAAATTTACAGTTTTACCTGAATGAGAGAGGCTCCATAAAAGAGAGAGCAAGCGACAGCGAGAGAAAATGAGAGCAAGAGTGAAAAGAGAAAGAAAATAACAAAAAAAGAAGGCGAAACAACAACAACAAAATTAGAAAGTTAAGAGTGCTCACCCACCTGCGTTTTGATGGGTGCAGAAAACAAGATTTATTTCAGAAACCTGATGGAGGGATAGAGTCAGCTACACAGAGAAATCACGCCTGCTGTTTAAAAATTAGATCAAGTGCACCCAGCACCTACTC